CCATTCAACTGTGTCCCAGAAAGTCGCATCAATGTACCTCTGTCTCCCTTAGCTCCTCCAGTTCAGCCACTCTGGTCTCTGAAGCCCGTACATGGTCTCTGAGCACCAGGAGCTCCTTGCACCGAGTTCACACACCTCACCTTGACCAGCTAATCATGCATGCTGCATTCAGTGCAATAAACTGGATAGCCCCCACTCTGGTGCTGGACTTCTGCCTGCAGTCTCTTTACTTCTGCAGCTCTTTCCTTTTTTTGTTGTTTTATTTTTATCACAGAGTCAGCACCTATGGTCTGTAGCTTGTGTCTGGTGTGTGCTTGTTACTTAACTGAAGTATACAGTGTTGTCCCTTTGAGGGACTCTGTGCTAAGTCTAGAGTCCTGCTAGGAAAGTTGAGAGCTTCTTAAGGAGGAGGCTTTGATGGCCAAACCCTTTAGCACCTATCAACCCCTAGCCAGGGGGTGGGGCTCCTCAGGGAGAACAAGGCTTTAAAAAGCCTGTTCCTAAGCAGCCAGAGGAGCTAGAGAACAGGAGCAGCTCACCTGAGTTCTGTGAGGGGGTTCTCCAGGTGAAGCAGGAGCAAGGACATGACCCCTGGGGTGAGTGTGTCTGTAGTGTGTGTTTGTGGTGCAATGTAAGCCTACGTAAGGCTGATGTGAAGCAGTGTCTAAGGGATAAAGATGTCAAGTCTGTGGATGTAAGAGCTTTTGTTTAGCTGATGCCTTCAAACAGAATCAGGCATCTATTGAGGGCATGCCACAGAAAGAGGGGTTTAAAACTGGGGGGGAAGGGAAGGTCCCTGGGAAAACAGAAGGGGGCTGGGACCCTAGAGCCCAAAAGGTGCTATCAGTGTAATTCCACTGATCACCTGAGGAATAAAGGCCCTGTGCTAGGAAAAAGCAGGCAAACAATAGCTCCTTAGTTCTGCTGTCCTCAACACAGAACACCCCCCCCCCCAAGTAATTGAAACCTATCACATTGGTTCTGTGAGGTTAGCCTCTGCAGAATCCGATATGGAGCATGTTAAGGCTGTCTAAATTGATAGTGGGTAATACTTGGGGCAGAGGGATTCAGGGGCCCAGATCTCTCTGGTTAAGCAGAGTGTGGTCCCAAAGGCCAGTATGTTACCTGGCCAAATGGCAGAGGTTGTGGGGTGGGTGAAAGCAGATTCCTTGTATCACTAGCTAAAATCTATGTGCTTTGGGAAGGTTTGGAAAGTGTTTTGACTGGGGGGGTAATGGAACACCTCCTATTTCACCTGCTCCTGGGTAATGATTTTTTCCGTCTAGCTCAGGTTAAAGCATTTGCCTGCAGCAGGAGGGAATTTTATGCTGGGACCCCCTGAGGGAAAGGGTAAGGTCTTAGGAACTGCTGAGAGAATAGGAATGAGTGGTCTTGATTCTTCTGCAGCTGGGGGAAGCCACATGCTTCCACGTGGGAGGGTGGTTGAGACCAACTCCTACACTGCAGCTGGAGGCAACACCACATAGGGTGACCAGACAGCAAATGTGAAAAATCGGGATGGGGGTGGGGGGTAATAGGAGCCTATATAAGAAAGCCCCCCAAAATCGGGACTGTCCCTATAAAATCAGGACATCTGGTCACCCTAACACCACATCAGGAAGGGATGGGGGTGTAATGCCTGCCAGGGAGAGAACTGTCCAGGTTGCAGCTCAACTAGAGACAAACCCGGCTCTAGGGAACAGAGAGATGTCCCAGAGGAGAGCTCAGAGAAGGGGCAGAGAATCTCAGAAACCACTGAGGTGGGTGAGGATTCCTGTGACTCCTAGCATAGGGAAGCAGAGTGCTTC